TTGTCTTTGACTGGCGCGCCTGTCTCTTCAGCCCTGGCCCCTGGGCGCAGACCCCCAATCCCGCGATGCTCGGCAGCAGCGCTTCGCCCACTTCACGGAATTGGCCATCATCTCCGTGCAGGAGATCGTGGACTTCGCCAAGCAGGTGCCTGGCTTCCTGCAGCTGGGCGGCGAGGACCAGATCGCCCTCCTCAAGGCCTCCACCATCGAGGTAACGGCTGCTCGCCTGCCGCCAGGGGACCCCAGAGAAGGCTAGGTTGAAGACCACCGGCCCCACTAGTCAGTGTCCCTGTGGGGGCGGCATTCCGCAGAGGAAGAGGAGGCGATTTGCAGGTTCCCTGGAGTCGGTTCCAAGTACTGGCTTCCCGTTTGTTTTCAAGGCTGGGACCTTCAACGGTAGCCAGGTTTCTCATCCAAGGCACCTCTAATGGGTTCAAATTCCCAAGTCTTTCACTAGTAAGCAACATGCAAGGGCGCAAGGAATTGGCATCAACTCAGTGACAACAGATGCCAATTGCGTCCACGTGCCCATCCGAGCTTTGCAGAGCCAAGGAGAGAGGGCCACGGGTCTAGTTTGAGAACTGGGCTGAGAGGGTCCGTTTTCGAAACAAATGGGGGGGAAAAAGCTCCCCCGAGGTCACGAATAAGGAGCAGCACCTCGTAGAGACTCCCTAGATGGGGGGTGGGAGTGGGTCACCACGCTTATGCCCTCAGCTGCCCACCCAAAGATGGGCAGTGTGAGTCCACCCCGCGGTTCTGCGGGAGAAAGACCTGGCTGGCCGTCAATTCCTGTGGACTGCCCGCAGCAAACAGCTCCAGGACAGTTATCCGACGGCCCCGCGGGGTTGCAATCAGTTGGAATCAACTCGAGGGCGCCCCGAAGCAGGAGCCTGTTGGGTGCCAGGCTCCGATCTAGGAGGGTGGAAGTACAGCAGCGAGGCCAGCGGACGGAAAGAGGCAAACGCCACCGCCCCCCACACCCTGTACAAATCTGTGGGCGGCGGATTCATAGGGGCAGACCTGGTGGGGGGGAAGTCCACCTGCTGTCCAGAGCTGATGTGGCTCAGTGGGCACGCAGTGGTCCCAGGAGCCCCGCCTGCCGCCCGTAGATCATGCTTCTGGAGACGGCCCGGCGGTACAACCACGAGACGGAGTGCATCACCTTTCTCAAGGACTTCACCTACAGCAAGGACGACTTCCACCGCGCAGGTTGGACA